AAAAAGTGCCGAACTTAGGGTGACGAACTTAAAAAATCGGTGACGAACTAAAGATAAAAAACATGCAATGAAGTTAATTAAATTTTAACATATTTAATTAACTTGACATGATCTGAAAAAAATCAGAGTGAAAGTGCACAAGTTCTTTCACATCTGGAAACTTTGTTCATTGCCGAACTCTTTATGGATCAAAAGTTATCAATGTACAAAGTTTCCAAATGTGGAAAAACGTTAAAAAATGCCGAAGTTAAGATAAACAGCTCTATAACTTCCATAATTTTCTTGTTAGGTATAATGTTGTAATGAACATGTGTTTGACATTTTGGTTTGAACAACTATTGTAACCAAGTTCATGAGATGTTTTACGATTTCTATTACATATGTTGAGCAAGTCATTGTCGTCCTTATTTCTCCAAGTTAGTAGTTATGTAATTATTGCGAATAAATATTTTTTATTAGAAATCAACGATTTAGATATGATCACATTTGCACCTTCTACAAAATTTTATTATGTTTATTTAAATGTTTATCCGAGTGGCAAACTTCCTGCCCTTCTTAGTTAAGGAGTAATGTGAATATAAAAGTTTCAATTTTTTTTACTTAATTATTTTAACTTGTACCATATAATTTTAATTGATGTGATATGTATACGTCTGATCAAGCGTCTGATGTTTATTTAATCATTTAATGAAACAATCAATCCTGATAATTATGACATTTTGTCATCAAAACTAGTAAAAAAAACCGAAAACCGTATTTTGTTTCATTGAATCATTTAATTTTATTTGATTAAAGTATGCCCAACATGAAGGCTTTATTTGCAATTAATATTATAAAATCTTTAATTAATATTTAATTAAATTTCATAATGAACACAATACTTACGTGATATTTCAGAGAGTTTTAGTAACTTAAGAGGGTATCAGCTTTCGATTGGTGTATAAAAAGTTTATAATTGTTTTGATTCTGATGAAAAACTTTGCATATTTAGAACCGTACGTGATTATGAATTTCTTCAGTAAATCTGTAAATTAAAGATCGTTTTGTTATCTCATAATTTACGATAATTTAATTAAAACTAATATAATTAATAATTGCAGTTCTGCTGCAGATTTTTATTCCTGGAATCTGATAATTTTCACATGTTTGTGCAGTTGAATAAAATAGAAATGATAAAGATATTAAATTTCAGTACAATGCAACATGATCTGAATGACGATTCGTAACTATAATTTCTTATTGATTTATTGCATACAAAAAGTTAATTCAAGTATTCAAATCTTTGTGTCACAAAGCTTATCTTATTGTTAAAAATGTTTCTTTCTTTTTTCTGATTAAATGTTTCAACAAAACTTCTTCTATTGAAGAGATTTTGATAAAATCGCACTGTAATGAAGTAGAAAAACTCTATGAAGCTAATGATTGAGAAGCCAGCACATAAAGACAAAATTCCGCCAAAATCACCAAGAATGTCATACCAGGCATAGAGAACTGTTGTCGCATAAAGAATTGAATAATGATCAGGGAAATAAATGTTAACCACAGTCAAATCTTCACTGTCATTAAAGCCCGAACTGTAATCATAATTAACTTGTAAGTAATCACACTGAAATAAATTAATAATTGCTGCCAAATTCTTACATTATTGATGATGCATACTCATAGAAGAAGTTCAAATGTGCAGAAGTTGAGTCAACGTTGTACGTACTAGAAGAACACAAAGGATAACAGCTTGGACAACTCAATCCGTCTTCCATTTCAAGTTCTAACCCAGGAATTGACTCACGTGGGCGATAAGTCAACCATTTGACACGATATTTGCTCAAACATCCCACGTGATCAAGATTACAGAAAGGTAAATGAGCCGTTGGAACATCGTGAAAATTTGTTGGAGAGTTGAAAGGCACGCAATTACACAAAGCGAGAACACTTTTTAACTTACATTTTACAAGACAATCACTATAAATATAATCTCCATTGTATTCATCAGCGTTATCGGAAGGGAACATACATTCACGTTTTTCAATGCTGTAACTTTGAACTTCACGCTCCGCTACTTTTGTCGTAATCTGTACTGCAATGTTAGATTCATGATAAGCTTGCACAGGAATGATTCCAACTCCTCCGCTCGTGATATCAGCAAACTCTTGGGGATTAAATATTAAAACAGTGGCTCCGTTAAAGCTTTTTGATTGGTAAAAGTAATCACTTGTTGATAGATTAAGAAGCACTGTGATGCCCATCGTTCTACCGATGCCAAGAGGCTTATAAGCTTTCTTTGATTGTGTATGTTTATCTGTCCGCTTGGCATAATTAAACATGCAACAAAATCCTTCACTTGATCTTCTGGTTTCAAATAACTGGAAACAATTTACATCATAGTCAGCCCATTTACATCTGACAAGTAAATCTTCGCATTTTGGGGCAAGTCTGTAAAGTGTTTGTTTCAATTCAAAGCTACCAGTCGTTTGATTGACATCAACATCGTCTAAAATATCTTGAAATCGAACAAACTCGTTTTTACCTCTCTCTTCAGGGTCGTAAATTCTTCCAAAATATCGAATCATTTCCATAACTTTTTCTTTAGTTTCATAAGATTTCTTAATTCTTTCTGATTTCATTCTGTGAAAGTTTTTAAAATGATCAAAATAAAATAGAAAAATATGAAAAAAACTTACAAAAAATCTGCGTAATTCTCCGCTTCTCTACGACTTATTTTGTTGTTCGAACAAATTCCAACAGCTGGAAAATTCAAATTATAAATTGGATAATGTTGTGACTCCAAAGTTGTAATTGTTGGATTGTCTGTGAAACTTGACCATGCATACATCATTATGTAAATTGCAGCGATTGTTATGATTATATGCAATGTCCACCACATTAGAATTTCAACAAAATGACGATTGGGTTCGACCACATAATGATAACAATGAACTAAAGTTTGATTAGCAAATTCCTTCAAACTTTTCTTCATTGCTTGTCCAATCTTTAAATCTTGCAATGGCCTCTTCTTGTAATTCAACATTTTATCAACAACAAATGAGCTTTCAGCATTCAACAACTAAATAAACAATAAAATGGAAATGTTGCATTTATATGTTACCTTTTATACCTTTATGGAAATAATAAATTATGCAATGCAAAATATGTTTTTGAGATAGATAGAAATGCTCAATAATAACGTTGAATTACTGTGGAGTTCTCAGTGGGAGTTGTCTTTACTGTTCATTATAATTACTATTGAAACATATAAGAATTACTAGAAATAAACCTTTTATTATTTTCTTTATACAACAAAGAACTGATTCGATAACTCAACAACAATTTTATTTCATAAAATCTTTAACATGTAAAATTTCACAAGAATATTCGAAAAGTTTTCTGCTTTCATTTTGATTTCTTGTTGCTTTAGCAATCCTACAATTCGAAAGGTATGTGCCACCATGACCTTCAAGTTTCGGTGACATTGCTGCGTGAACAATTGTCCTTGAACCTTGTTCAGCTGTTTTGTAAAACAATTTTTGTATCCATGGAAAATATCCGGAGCTACAATTTTGGAAGAGATCAGTGTGAACAATTCCAGGATGAATCGAATGAACTTGAATATTTAAATGACTCATTCGACAAAGTTCATCAAGATGTTGAGTGAAGTAAACTTGTGCTAATTTGCTCTTGTTGTAAGAGTCAACAGGATAATAAAATTTTCTGAAACCATAAAAGAATAAAATGAAAAAGTCTGTCATGAACACCATTCGGCAACTTTTACTCCATATGGAAATCATCATAATCCATCTTCGCTGCTTTGTGAACACATGAAGAAACATTCAATATTCTCACGTTTTGAGAATCGTTCTTCAATCCTCCAGCCTTCAGTTGTGGCATCAGCAGATGTGTCAGAAGAAAATGTCCTAGATGGTTGATTGCCATCTGGGACTCGAAGCCGTCTTTTGTTTTACTGTAAGGCGTACACATAACACCAGCTATTTTAATTGAATCAAGTTATAAAATTGAATGCGCAAAATATTTTTAAAATATTTTTTCAATTATTTTTACCGTTGTTAATCAACACGTGAATTTCTGAAAAACGCTCCTGAACTTTTTTAGCAAAGTTTTCGACTGATTCCATTTTTGCGGTGTCGCATGTTTCAATGACAACTTTTCCTTTTCTTTGTTCTGCTTTACAAATGTCCTCAAACGTTTTCTTTACTATTTCGGGATTTCTTACTCCCAACACAACAGTCATGTCACACAAAAGAAGCTTTTTAACAACTTCAAATCCAATTCCACGATTACCTCCAGTCACAATTGCCACCTTTCCAGGTTTTAAAACAAGATCTCCAGATAAATCACAGTTAGAAACTTCTCATTACTATTAATAAATACAATCTGCCGTCTTACCTTCATGGTTCTTAAACTTCATTAAAACATCAGCCAGGAATCCCATTCCACCATAATATTGATACTTAAGTTCAATTGTGAACTCTCTCCAATTTCTTGGCATTCGTTTTGACGATCTTCCGTAATAAAGAATGAACAAGACAACGAGCAAGCTCAATAGAAGTAGAATCAACAACATTTTTTAACACTTTCGCCTTCACGTCTGACACTTTATTTTCTAAGAATTATCTACTCCAAGTGATTGCGCATTTAAATGCTAAAATTCCAAATAAATGAAGTTTAAATATGTTAATTAATAAGCTAACGTCTTTTTTATTTTTTTCAACTGCACTAAGCAGCAACTTTGTTTCAAATGAATTGTTACTTTGAATATCTAGTCGAAGTAATGAAATGATTCAAAGAAATCTATCAAAATTGAAGTTTCACATCACAGTTATTGAAACAAGTTAGTTTAGGTAAAGGGAAAAAAAAACTTGATTCCTAAGTATTATTAAAAAGCTAATCAGTTCAAGGTTTGTTTGTAAGTTGAGATTATTATTACTTGAACGTGAGAAAGAAAGGAAGGCAGAGAAACACAAAACTAACTTTTCTTTTAAAAAATAAATCTTCTGTTCGATTTGAATTGTTACGCGTCCGGTGATCAACTGCTTGCTTTTGACTTGTTCATGTTTGATTAAGTTCAATTCTCACATTTATTTGCGAGATTGACTGTTGTTATTGAAGAAAAAGAATATTGCGATTGTCTGTAAATGTACGTCATATTAACGAACAGATTTTAATTAAATATATTGAATATTCACTAAGATTATTCAACGAATTGTAAGAGATGATGTTGAATAAGTTCAACTTGTTCTTTTTTGCTCCACTTCTAGATTTAATCATCTGTTAATATAGCCAATAAGGAAATAAATAAAAATTAAAAAACGATGTTAATTTAATAATTGGAAAATATTTCTTTACACATCACAGCTAGTTGAACTTTGAGTGCACTCTAATGACTGCACAACATCACACAAAGTCAGACTTTCTACGCATATAAATGCACATGATAATGCAAAGTCTAATTACGTGATGCACAATAAAATATTTTTATCGAAATGCTTTCAGAGTTCAGTTATTTGTAATGAACAGTAAAATATTTTCATTTAAAATTTTGTTCATGAAGCTCATTCAGCTTTAAAATAAAGCAATCTGAAATTTAATCAAGATTTTTCACTTTTAGATTTTCCACTGTATAATCAATTAATAATTATAAAAAAACGTAATTTTATTTCATTTGAACTTTATAAAAAATAAAAAATAAAATATTTCAGAAACTTTCATGTAAATTTCCCAAAATCTTCAATTTTCAGCAATTTACAAGTAAAATTGAAAAGTTTTTCACATTCCACGGGATCATCTGATGATTTGTGATAATTCCATTTTGTACAATTAGATAAGTAAGTTCCACCATCGCCTTCCAATTTCGGAGAAATTGCTGCATAAACGACCGTCCTTGAACCTTCTTCAGGCGTCTGAAAGAGTGAGAGGAATCACATGATGATTTTGGTTAAACCAGGAAAAAGGTTTAATGTTTCATTTCATTCACATGTTCATCATTCATTCATAATAAAGATTATCACGATAAACATAATATTATGAACGTGACGAGAATATCGTCAATGCCTTTATCTTCTTAGTTACCAAATAAACACACCTTAAAGAATATTTTCCGAATCCATGGAATATAATCCGTGCTTGAATGCTCAAACAGGTCAGTATTGACGACACCAGGATGAAGTGAATGTGATTGTATCTTTAATTCATGTTCCGAGAAAAACCTTTCAAGAGACTTTGTGAATAAAACCTGAGCTAATTTGCTTTTGTTATAAGCATCCGCTGGATAGTAAAATTTTCTGAATGAAAATAAGAAATGCTGATTATGATGATGAAATAAATGAGATGAAGGAAGAGGGAGGAATTCTTACTGGCAATGAAAATCACTGTAATCGATATCCGTTAGTCTATGAACACACGACGACACGTTCACAATTCTCACATTCCTTCCGTCATTATTATTTGAACCAACAACTAACTGTGGCATTAGCAAGTGCGTCAGCAGAAAATGTCCCAAGTAATTGATAGCCATTTGAGATTCAAATCCATCACATGATTCTTTATAAGGTGTGCACATAACACCCGCTATAAGACATACAAAATGCTTTCAGCTTTTGACCAAATCAACTTGAAATATTACAGATTTTACCATTATTAATTAACAAGTGAATTGCTGGAAACTTTTCTTGAACTTTCATCGCAAACTCTTTCACTGATTTCATATCGCCAGTATCACATTTTTCATAGAAAACTTTTCCCTTTATCAATTCTTCATTTAGATAACTTTCAACAGATTTCTTTGATGCTTCAGGATTTCTCCCTCCTAACATTACAGTCATGTCGCATTTTAAAAGTTTTTCCAAAACACACAAACCGATGCCACGATTACCGCCAGTCATTACAGCAATTTTATTTGGTCGCTTGACTAGTTCTAAAATATTTGAAAATTTCTTCTGTTAATTAAGATAAAGACGAGGTTTCATGATGTCTACTCACCCACTTTATTCCAATATCTCATGATTGTATCTTCGGCTAATCCTTGCGTGCCAGAAGCTTGAATCTTCAACTCAACAACAAATTCTCTCCAATTCTTCGGCATTTCTTTCGATGAACGTAGGAAGTAAAAAGCAAAAAATATCATCGCCAATGGCGGAATGAAAAGCGCCAAAGCCATCTTTAATTAAGTTATTTGCTTCGTTTGCTGTTTCCTGTTATTATTATTATTGAAGTCGCAACTCTTTTATTAAATGAAGCCAAATTCCGATAAAATTCTCTTCTGCAATGACACAAAAGAATTAATTAAAATGCGTTTTTTACGTGAAATGAATCGTTAAGTAATGAAACAATAAATTTTATCAACAAAGTTTTCTTATTTAGAATAATTTTCATTGAGTAATTTTTACATGTTTACAAACGTACATACACATACACAAGATATCTTCTGTAATGTTTCTCTATCTATGTGTGGGTGTGGATAATTCTGTTCAATTAGAACCTACCATTAAAATCTTTCATCTTATGAAGAAGTTAACTTAAATAATTTCTATCAACATTTACTATAAATTTTTATTTTCTGTCAAAATCCTCATAAAAATCATATGAAGAAGCAAATAAACAAATAAAAATCATTTTCAAGTGAAGATAAAATTCAAACTTTTGAATCTTTCTTGTTTGTTAAAACTTTCTTTTTCCATCTTTCCTTCAATTTAAGATAAAGAAGTTTGTCATTTAAAAAAAGTTTACAAATGCATTGAATGTTGTGTATAAAAGTGCCAATCATCATACAAAAAATTGCATAAGAATTTCAAATTGTTCCTTGTTTATGATTAAATATTAAACAGCGTACTTAATTCCAGAAAGATCTCAAAATAAATGCTGAAGAAATACCTACATGAATTGCTTGCGTAAGTAAGATTTGTTTAAAGCTTGAAAGTAAACAACTAAAGGTATCTGATGACGTTACTGTCTCTTATTGCTAGAAAACGAGTAGTTCTTTCAATTAAAATTGATATTTGTAAATTTCAATCTTCTTTCCTCGAAATGAAAAGAACTGACACACTTTTATGTAAGCACCGACCAACGTTTGGAACGAAACTAACTATTGAGTGAAGAATATGAAGAAGAGAGACGTATGAAAGTTTGAAGAAGTTATTAATGAGTGGTCGCTTGGGAATAGTCTTCGGGTAAAATTTTATTCTGTTTCTTATTTTAAATTTATGGTCATGAATGTTTGCTAAAAGGAATCACATTTTCAGTTCAGTACTTGCATGCATAAAATAATAAACTGTAAGGTCTGTATAAAATTATTGTCATTACACAATTCACTCGAAAATCATTTCTGCATTTGTTTCGATCTTATATCTAAGATTATTAATTATATTCTAATTTAGTCTAGATGTTTTAAGCCTCATCATCACGTGTTTTGGACGTCTCTTCAACATTCTCATTATCTTCCTCCGCATCTTCATCTGAGTCAGGAATAAGTTGATATGGCAAAAGATTTCTGTTGAAAGAAAGAAAGAGAGTGGGGTAAGCTTTGAACGATATAAAAATAGGAAGAGAGATACTGCATGAGTCTCATTGACATTTTTAATTAGAAGAAAATGTTTGTTACATGATCATAGTTGCAGAAAATAGCAAAAGCTCGTCATCGAAACAGAAAAAATCTCCAACAAAAATAAAGCAACAAAAAAAAAAGCTTTTCATTAATTTAAAGCTCAATCATGCTGTTTATTTTGTCATTTAAAGCAAAAAAGCAATTGAAAGCAGCAAATTTGAAAGCTCAAAAGCAGTTTAATGATTCATTTTATTAATATTTAGCATTCTCTGCAAAAAAAGAAGCAATTATTCAATTTTTTATTATTTTTTGCTATAAAAAGTTTGAACAACACATAAAGCAATTACAAATAAATATTTATGGATCTTTGCATAGATGATGTTAAGGAATAAATATTGCTCTTGTGAATAAAAAGCGTTATTTTCAATAAAAATCAAAATGTTTTTAAGAATAAAATTAAGTTTCGGCCATCTTTTAATATCTTTCGACCTTTTCCATTTTTTCAGCATCCATTCCTGTGAGATCTGAACGTGAACTGTCTGGAGGGATTTTCGATTTGCTAAAATATTATTAATCTTAATAAAATATCAACCATATTTAAAGATGATGTCAATGATTGAAGTTATGAGCATAAAATTTTAATTTGAATCTGCAATATCTCTCTGAAAAAAAGAAATGTTTACAAATAGATACTAACCGATAGAAAACATAATGTTGCAGCATGAAAACGATATCGAAAAGTACTGAAAACAATCCTAGACCGAACTTTGTTGGGTCTCCGAAAATCGATTGCCAATCGTCTATTTCAGAAAAGAGAAAAAAAATTCATTCAATGTTGGGACGTTCAATCAAAATAATTCTTCTCACTATAATTATATGAATTCAGTATCATCTGAAGCATTGAAAGAAGACCTCCTGTAAAATCAAGTATGATATTTCCAATGCTCCATCCAACGGTACTCTTTCTACGATAATTCATAACAGCTTGAGGCACATATTTGATAAGCGTTATCGCAAGTTTGATGTAACTGCAAGTGTTTAAGAAATCGAGCCAATGCCATACACCAACAGCAGAGCAAATGAAAGTAACAATGATGATAGTAAAGAAGAGACCTAGAATACCTCTAGCAATGTTAGAAACTCGTTGTTCTCCGCGCTATGATCATTTGTTGAAAGTCGGAGTTAAAAAAAGGATTAGATTAAAGAAGGTTTAAATGTAACGAGATTAGATTAAGTTAATCCTAATCTTTAATTCACCTCGTAAATGAAGCATTGGGAGATCGTAAAAGCTGTAATAAGTGATGCATGAATGGAAAAGAAGACATCGTTAAGCTCAACGGGATTGACACCACGTGGAAATCTTTGAAAATATTCATCTTCGATCGTAGTTATCCAATAAAGTGAACAATTAAAAAGCGCATATAAAGTATGTCCAAGTAAATTCAACGCTAGAAAGTCGAAATTTAAGCCAACAACTGACTTTCTTTTGATATTTATCCATATTTGTGGGTAAAATGATATCGACCAGGCTACGAAGTAAATCCACCCAACAATAAATGAAATCAATATAATTGAAGATGAATTTGCAACGATGATTCGAACAAATAAATTAGAATCGTCAATGACTGCAACTGGTGTTGCGTTGCCAACAATTTCTGCGTGTCCAGGATTTTCTCCAAAGAAGCTTATCTCTTGAGTCCAGTTTGATTGTGAATTTGCGGGGATCGTCAGTTGATTTGGAGTGATACTGATAAGGCCATGACCATCATCTTCATACAAATAAATCGTCAGAGAAGTGTTCAATGAACCGCTGTAAAAAATATTTTGAATGAATCCGATAATTCACTTAATTTCCTATCAATTCTTACTCAACCGTCAGACTTAAGTTCTTTGTTTCACCCACGACTAAAGTCAGATCATTCGATGAAAGCGACAATCTTGTCGCATCTTGCAAACAAACAACGTCTAAAAATAATCGAGAAAAGTGATGAGCAAAAAAATGCGTAGTTTAGAATGCGTTGAACTTTTGAAATAGAAACAAATGTTTCAAAAATTCAAAAACTAATTCATTATACTCACTTAATACTGTTAACACTGCAAAGGTTTGAAGCAGAATTCGTTCTTTCAAATTCATTTCCTCTTTTTGCCTTATCAGTTAATTTTTGATGCGAATGTTTTCGACTATCGATAATTTATTTTTTATTTATATTATAACTTCAATCAGTTTTCAAAGATGATTTTAAACAACGATTCAGGAACACTTTTGTTTAGTCTTGACTTAATGTGAGAAGTCTGAAATGTTTTTTACTTATTAATTCTATTTCATTTCAATCTTACTTCTGATGATAAGCTTCAAATAATTTTTCTCTAATTAACGTTGATTATTGTTGGAAACTTGCAGAACAAATGCTTGACTCATAAACTTAAAGCATCGCAATACGAGAAATGAAAACTCTTTGATGGTAATTTTCTTGGCAAAATATCAAAACAAGACAAACTCGTGAGAATTGCATGAGAATCACTTTCACTGATTAAAAGATCGGCCTGTTGACAAGACACAATTTAAAACCACCGGTGAATTAAAAATTAAATGATGCATTTCAATCTAAATGCGACATTTGTTCAAAGAAATCGTAAATATTTTAAACACGATCTGAAGGAAGTTATTCCTTCGTGATGAAATATTCTACACGACAATGACTCACAAGCATGTCTTATACTTCAGGGATTTCAAGTAAATTTGGATACTGAACTAGAATAACTTTCCACTATTTAATTAACTCCAATCCCTGTTATAATTTCTCCAAAGAAATGCATTTAAAACGATTTTCTTTCATTTTACTATTGTATTGAATATTTTTCAAAGAAACGTTGCGTAATAAACAGAAAATTAGTACAAATCAATAAACGACCCTAATTAGACTGCGACCACTCTACTCACTTCATTTCTCACAAATAACACGCTTCAGTTTCTTCCCTAAATTCAGATAATTTAATAAAATTTCAAGTGCTTCATTCCTAAAGATATCAAATTTCTCACTAATGAAAATGTACTCAGACTGCAAGTTTTCATTGTTAACAATGATTTGTAAAAATCGCTTCTATTGTCAAATATTTTGTTATCTCGAGACATGTTCAAGTTTCGCAATTTTAAATTATTATTAAAATACTATTTTGATGGTTTTGATTAAAGAATTTACTTGTCACATCCCTTAATCGTGTGATAAACCTCTGGGCTTAGGTTGATAAGAAATATTAACACTTATGTACTTAAGAGAGCTTAAATTGACGTACTATTGTCATTGATAAGTTTGATAATAAAATCAGATTAATCAATTCCGAAAAGTCTATAAAATCCCTCACAATGTTGGCACAAGATTGAAGTAATAGTAATAATAAAATGACCAACTGTCATGCTGTAAAGGCGAAAGTTCGTAAACCCACATCTCTTATCAATGCAAATAATATTAAACTATTTACTAAGAATCACAAACTATTTTAGACATTAATTTCCGAAAAAGAATTGTCGCACGTTAAATCTGTTTTTAATTTCCTTAATTCATTTATGGGCAGTTCAGGTTCACTGAGCAGCAATTATCTCTTTACGAGATAATTTTATAAATAAACAAACAATTTGTTAGATTTTTTTGTGCAATATTGATGTCATGAGAAAGTCGATGACCCAAAGTAGAAAATTAAATATTTAAAAGAAACATTATTGGGACCATTCATAAGTCAATATATAAATGTTAAACAGTTCCGCGCGCGCTTTAAAATTCGTCAAGCAGTTCAGCGATCTTAAAAATTTACTACCAATAAATTTTTTTTTGTTTATTGTATCAAGCGAACAGCATAATTTAATTAAGCGTCACATGCCAATAAATATTTTTGCTTGTCATTCAATTTCGTTATCATAGATGCAAAACAATTAAAATGCTAAATGAAACGAGGCAGAAAATCTTGTTCTCGCATGATTAATTGAAAAATTAATGAACGACGCGACAAGTGGTTGCATGAGATTTTGTCGACTAATGTTATAAATAAATCTAATCTCGGAACTATTGATGGTGTAACCTAATTCTGTTCAGAACTTCTGCAACTTCTTTTTTGTACTTTAAATGACTTTTAAAGTCAATTAATTTTTGAATGGGGCCAAGTTTGACAAGAGCTTAAAAAAACTTGCACGCTATAATCAATTGCTGGATTGAAAACAATTTTTTTACTCCCAAATTATTCATTATAAATAGATTTTTCGTTGTTATTCAGTCATATAAATTTGTCAGTGAGCCACTTGTACAAATTACGATTAAAAAAATTGGAACTTCGCGATAAAAAAATTGTTTTTCTAAGTATTCTTTTATTAGGAATGCGATTTTTTATCGTGTATTGCAACCGGTCCGAGCACTTCAAGCGATAGTTTTTGTTGCGCTTTATAACATCTTTTTATGCTTGCAATGAAAGCGAATTTTTTCATATCGACTACTTTTGTAAATGCCATGCAAATTTCCAACATTAAGGCAACCCAGAAAAAAAAGCGAAATTTTTCTTTTTTCTGATCTTCTGCTTACCTTTCGCTTAAGAGCAAAAATATTAAATAAATCAATGTTGTTTAATAAGATGTATGAAAGGTTTACCCTTGTTTTAACGTTAAATATCGGCCTTCAATTTTTTGCTATTGAACTTGTTGTCGATCAAAACTAGCTGTTGTTTATGTTATTAACATATGAAACGTATCTGTCTGGGTCAAAGCCTTCCAACAAAATTATTTCTTTTGTTTTCTTATCTAATTGTAAAATGCTTCACTTTTAGATGATGATTAGTCACGGTAATGACAATAGTTTGCCTCTTATTGTTCTTAATGTTGTGTTAAGTCTTTCACACTTGTCATTAATACCCGCAGATTTAATATGTTGACTTAACTGAATGAATATTGAAGGCAAACTGAGAAATGAATTTCAGCGATACTTGAATGAAAAGCATTCGTTTTATAATGTGACGAAATGTTTCGCGCTGAGAGCCTTTAAAAGCTCGCTCTCGAAAGTCTACTCATGAAAGAAAAGAAAATAATTTTGGAACCAGCCTGTTGCGTCAATGTATTGTGGATATGTGTTTACTGATAAAAACAGAAGTTTGCGGCATTTTGCAAGAGCTTAAGATAATTTACTGATTGTGATAACAAATAGCAAATTTTATTTGCACTCTGATTCCATTTAATAAAATGATTCTAATTGAAATTTCTGGTCAAGGACTCACCCTTAGTTATGTTGCATAAAAATTGTTGTATGTACTTTGATTATCACAGTTCTGGTGTTCCTCAAGGTTTTTAATTAAATTGCACTACCTATACAAAGGAAATTTTCATTTCATTCATAAAACAAACTTTCTTATCACACTTCGTACACTTTTTTACAATTTTCCAAATGATCTCTTTGAACTAACACAAAATGAGAGCCTTGGCATGGTTTTCTTTATCTTTCCACAGAAAATTCACTTTTTTCTATTTCATTGATGTTTTCCCTATCATCTTTGTTTATAAATATTGTTTTGAATTACAAAATCAAGCTTGGAAGTACAAAATGATGAATTTATCATATTTACCGGTTTTCATCTAGATAAGAATGAGAGATGTCTAAATTACATTGCATTATCATTGAAAATGTTTGTTTTAAATGATGGCAACCAACACTAAAGTAGTTTCACTCAAAATTAGAAAGAAAACGAATTTTTTGGATTAATTCAAAGCTTGCTTGAACTCACGAGTTCGGACTACCTGAATAACGGATTAGATATTTCTATCTGAGACACATTTTTGAAAATAAAATCGGTTACAAACTCCATGGAGATTCTAAATGTGAATCTCACTTGCAAGTTGCAAGCATAATTTTTTAATAAATAGAATATCTGCTAAGAAAAACAAATGATTAAAAGTAAAATTCTCTTTTATTTTCTTATTTATTATTTTCTTGTTAAGTAAAAATAATCAGAAAACTTTTATTATATCTTGTCTTGTATCTATTCTATGCTTAAAATTAATGTTTATGCTTATTTTAAGAATTCTTTCTTTCTTCATACTTTAAGGCAATTGTCTTACAAACTAATTTTGATTTAATAAAAAGTGTTACTCTACGCTTCCGATAATCAATAATGATGCTCATCACTGGAAATTGATGTTAAGTATAAAGTGACGTAATTACACTGATTATAAGTAGATAGTAAAGTTTCATCCCAGATTGCTTTAGTCAACATTTGCAATTCAAAAAAAAATATAATTCAATAAAAAATATTTGTTAATCTCAATTAAAACTCTTTCAATTTTCGTCTTCAATCATATTAAAGTTTTCTCACAATCTAAGAATTTTAAAATTCTTTCTTATTTTCAACCTTTTCATCACAAGCTTTCCGATTTCATATAAAAACAAATCTATTTAATCACTAAAAAATATTCTTGAGTCAAATAAAAATAGAAAAAAAAGAAAAGTTTTTGTACCTCTGGTGATATTCGTTAATCAACTTGATTATTGCATCATCTGATTATGAAATTGTCAAATGATTAACGAATTGCACAATACAAATATGCTCATCTTAAAACTAAATAGCAATTAAAAAAAAAAAAGAAATTTAAAACTTAAACTTAATAGCGCATCGCTTTTGTGGAAAACTTGAGGTATTTAAAAATTGGCTGAGAGAACATTTAATTGTTGTCATCTGTAAGAAGCATTTACATTTTGTATCAGTCTTTTTAGTATTTTAACATTTTAAGAACTGTTTTTGGATTATTGTAATTGTATGATTGATGCTGATGTGGATTTAAGAGTCGTTATAAAAATAACTTTACTTCTTCTTTCCACACTAACAACATTAAATGATCGAAGAAGAAATTACTTACCAATTTGTTTCTGGATGTTTTCCAGATAAGGCTGATAATCAGCGGCATTGGGTGTGTTTGCTGTTCGAGCCATTTCACCAGCTACCATATCAAAAGCACATTTCAACAAATCTTTCTTCATTTTTTCATTTGGCATTGTGACAGTCACCTCACAAGAGTTTTCCTTTTTGTATCCAACCAGATCAGAGTTTAAAGCTTGCAAATCTGATGGCAACTCTTGAAATGACACAGCATTCGTCAAAACATCAACAACTTCTTGTTTGATTGGAATTTGAATTGCAATTTTTTTCGATGTTGAAGGAGGTTCTGCTTCAGGCTTTCGTTTCTTCGGTAATGGTTTCTTGCAACTTTCTTCCTCTTTTTCCTTGTCACGTTTTGGACATGAGCAAACTTTGAACGCCAAAACTTTTCGCCCCAGAATCTCATAAAATTCATTCTCTAATGTGAAAATGATTGACGTACTTTTACGATTCATTCCACCACTGCATGAGTTTTGACATGTAAACTGAAGCTTCAGAGGCTCACCAGCCACAAGATCGTCCTGCGATACGAGAATTGCTAATTTCTCACCGAACAACTTTCCTTCCTCTTTTCCAATGTAAACAGTGTGAGAAGCAGGAGAACGCAAGATGTGCTCAGGACTGTTAAGATTGTTCGATTGGTCTCGATGATTAGGACACTTTTTGACCGGCTCAGCAAACTCATTAGGAGAAGAATAAACAATCATTGCTCTTACGAAAAGCTTTCGACTTGGATCCACGTTCTCAAATTTCACGTTCACATGCATTGATGTGTTAATTTTCACAAACACTTTGTGAAGTTTTGGTGAATACATCCAAGTAGTCTTCCCAGCATAATCAGAATGTAAGAAGATGTTGAAATCCCATTCATTGTTGATGTCTTCCATGGATGGCAATTGATAGAGATGCTTTGGACCAGCAGAATAAGGGATCAGTTGTGACTCATCCATAGCACCACTAACAAACACTTTTTCATTCTCTCCAGAATTGAATTCATCCTGAAATCCATTAGGAGATAAGCTAAACATGCTCGCATTCATGATGTCGTCGGAAGATACAAGCAAGTCTTCGGTATTAATCTGGCCAAGCTCAAGATGGTCGTTTCTGAAACAACATTAAATGCAAAATATTGTCGAGTCTTAAAATAAGAAAAAACTCACTGTGCATTGAAGGTGTAAAGAGAATCTTGGGATTCGACCATTTTTCTTTCTTCTTCTTCTTATTTTCTTATATTTTATGCTAGGTAGGATTTTGGCTTTGATGTTGTTTTTTAGATGTTTTCTGGAAATTTAGTTATCAAATATTAACCGAACCTTATAAAATGTTTAAAACTGATTGGAATGCACTAATTGAAGATATTTAAATTTGATTACTTATTTGCCTTAAGGCAAGAAATAAATAAATAAAATTCAATGCTGAACTATATTTTAACCAAACTAATTTTCAATGTCAATTTACTTATGAAATTCAAAATTAAACTTACATATTTGATCAAATGTTGATAGCTTTTCAGTGAAAGCGTTCAAAGAAATAAGATTATTCCATTTATTTTCACTATTAACACAAAATATTTATAATAATATTTTAATTTTATCAGATTTCAAACATTCTGCTGGATTTCACTTTTCACACTGTTCCGTTTTGTTTCATAATTGCGTCTTAGGTAAAACGGTCCGTGTCAATGACGTAGACATTTTTTGATGTTGTTTTAAAAAAATGTGTTAAAACTAATTTCTTACTAAGAAAATAAAAATAAACAACGACGAATTCAAAGTATATTTTAAATANAAGACCAAGGACAGTCGGAAGGTCCATGGACAGTCGGAAGGTCCATGGACAGTCGGAAGGTCCATGGACAGTCGGAAGGTCCATGGACAGTCGGAAACTCCACACCGGCCGGAGTAACTTAAAATTATGCATGCATAATTTGAAGCTCCCCATGTGGAGCTTCCCCATCTCCAATTTTGATGTTGTTTTAAAAAAATGTGTTAAAACTAATTTCTTACTAAGAAAATAAAAATAAACAACGACGAATTCAAAGTATATTTTAAATATGAGATGTTATCTGGGTTTTCCACATTCTGAGTGTGTACACTGAGACATTTTGAGAATATTACAGCATCAAAAGAAAATTCTCTCGAATATGACTGTTATAATGTTGTTTTGCGGCAAAATCTGATTCACGTAAACGTGAAGAACGTAAATTTACTTCCTAATAAGGACTGCTAATAAATTCTTTATTTCTCAATAACCCATTGAACCCATTGAACCCATTCATTCATTGAAACAATCAAACAAACTTTCTCTAACAATCTCAAAAGAAAAAAAAAAATCTTTTAAAATTTATGTTGCATGTCCATTAATTAAAAATTCTAAGGCTTTCTACAAAAAAAAGTTAAATGTTTTCTACAAGGTCATACCAACTGCGACAATTTTTATGTCATAAATTAAAAGAATGTTTAAAATATGCAGGACGAAACAAGCAACTTTGATTAACAGATGCTTTATAAAACACTTCATAAAACGTTGGACTTTCGGTACTCCATCTTCATCATTGCGTAACAATTATGAATGATTCTATTTTCAGATCTTTGCCAGATTTTTGTAAAGAATAAAAAGAAAAGTTCAAGAAATCCACGAGATCATAATTTCTAATTGTCATTGTGTGTTGCTTTATGAATCTGGGGGTCTTTTTTTACTTGCTCAACCAACGTACACTCGGATTGTGTGTTGAAAGAGAGAGAAAAAAATTTCTACTTAGATTGAAAAATCTGGAGAAGAAAATCATAATGAGTTAGTGACATTAATTTTCATTTTTGTAGAATTAAGACGGCTCGCTGAAGGAGCAGAGAACAACACAACAAAAAATCCTGATATGGGGTAGGATTTTAAACGCAAAGAGGACGACGACTAAGAGAAATTAATTTATTGCGGCGTGATTTGCTGCCGAAAGTGCGGATGAATAAAAAGAAGAATATAAAATATGTTGTCATTTTTCTTCCGATTAAGACAGGGGAAAGGATTCGGGATAATGAGATTGGGATTTGTTGAGACAGAAACCTTACAGAAATCCATGACTAACATTCTTCATTTCAATTTAGAAATGAGGCTTAAAAAAATATTTTACTACTTCTTGTTTCATAAAACAGACAAATCCAAGATTTCCGAAATTTTACGACAGAAGCACGACACAATTGACCTCCTTAAGGTTTTACGACGGATTGAAAATCATTTCACCCTTTTCTTCGTTTGTATTACGATCGTATTGACGCGACAATTACCGTCGAGTATAATAAAAAGCGAAGAATCGCAGGAATGTGAAGCAGCAATATGTTGTACAGAAGGGCTCCAACAACACCATCACTAAAAAATCGTTAAATAAATTTGTACTCACGAGAATAATGCACTTGTCCTTTAAGTATTTGCCATATTCACTTGTAACTTACATAAATGTTAAATTTTCTTTCACCGAAAGGTTCTTCACCCGAAACAATTCTCACCACCATATGGCTGTCGCTTTCCTTCAATTCTCGTTGCGACAATGTTTCTTATTCTTCGTCAAGTGCGTGTAAGTGTGTTTCATTTCATTTACTTAAAGATCTTCTCATTTTTTTGCTTACTTTCTCTGATAAAAAAATTTGTTACATTGTTGAGTGCTAACGACGTTTTTATTCAATGACTCTTTCATCACAAATCTATAATTAAGCAAAAATAACTCTGCTTGTGTTCTAGTCTTTTAAAGAATTTGAAACTTAATTTATTATGTCCTTAGCTTGATTTTCGATTTCAGATGTTAAAAAGAATGGAAGTCAGCAAAGATTTATTTTCAATCATTTTGACAGTCTTCTACCTCAACATTTAAATAACTTAATTAATGTTTTCATTGTCTCTGCATATATGCGAAAGTTTTTCATGGTTTTCCTCCTTAAAATAACTTTGTTGGAGAAGTTTCAATCATGACCGTGGAAATGCTTTAAAACAACATTGAAACTAGAAATGAATTATTAAAAAAAATAATGTGTCGTGACCTGTCATAAAATATAAAACAACTGTGAAATATAGAAAACTCATTTTTGTCTCATTTAAAAAAGTTGAAACTTGGTGTACCGCTTTACACATTTGTTGTTGTTAATAAGAAAAAGAAAAAAGAAAAATTAACTGAGTAAAAAATGTGAATGCTTCGTGTGATTGGAAAACGGTTGGGATCAACAACATAGTTGAGATTTATGATGACATTAACTCATTGCTGCGTTTTGAGCTGCTGTGTGTTAAGGGGTGTGGGAAAAAACTTTTTTAAGAAGGAATCTTCGAAGAAACAGTTCGTTAATATCTAATCATCGGAGGCCATTTAAATATTTTATGAAAATAAGATCATGATTTGATATTTGATGATGGATGTAGGATTATTATGGATTATGTTGTTAAGAAGTCAACTTCTATTTGACACGAAAAAGGGATAATCAAACAGAATTTTCTAATTAGCTGTACATGAATGACAAACAAGATAACAGAATGTTGATGAAGGCAAAAAGGGGAGGAGAGGAGCGAAGAGAAGACTAGAAGAGAAAGGCTTTGTGGATTTAAATTATTAACATGGAAATCTTCGGAATTTCACTTAGCATAGGAACCCTCAATTAAGCAAAGATGCTGCTCTTTTTCCATCTCTGAACCATTTCCTTTTATTTATGAACTAAACTTTAAACATAAATAAAACAGAACATGAAGAACAAACTCGATAAATTACTTTTAAAAGAGATTTAAATAGGACCTGTAATAATTATCTTGTATCCATCGTGCACATTCCATAGACGAGACAAGAAGCTTTAAAGAATTTGACTACTTACTTACGTATGAAGTACAAGAAATATGATCAAGTTTAAGTACCGCCTCCGAGACGCTTCATGTGTAATTTGTAGGCAATTTGAGGCATGAGAAAATTTTCCCACGATTCATCTTCTTTTTTCCAACAACGATATTATGTCCAACAGTTGGCACTAGAACAACAAATTATTTATAAACTGCCAACATCATTGCACTCCTAACCATGACTCATCGAAGTCTCGCTAATTGATAAAAAAAACTCAATAGAAATAAAAATGTTTTCGCTTATGCTGACAATGTCAATCCCTCCCGCCGCAAAAACTAATGCAAATAAGCTCCCATGGGAATTATTTTCCCATAATTCGTCGATGATTTGTTTCCTCGATTTCTGAATCATTTATTAACAGAGACGAATATTGTGTGAGAGAGAGAGAGAACGAAAATACAATTTCTTCGCTCATTATTTGCTGAAAATGTAAATTTTGATGGATGATACTTGGGGCATGTTGTATTTATGTTTGACAAATAGTCTTTCATTCCTTTCTCATTCCGCTCGAATAAATTTGCATATATCCCATCAGCTGCGTGATGGTGTGCCTTTCTTCGTTCTTGAAGCGACGCATGGAGGGCGCAAGCAAATGAATCGAGTAATAAATCATGACGAAATGAAAATGTAAATTGATTTGCCGAAATACATATCAAAGTTGAGTCAATGGAAAATTGAGTATTTTTCCTTTCTTTCCCCTTTTTATGTGTCTTGAAATCGTAATTATTTTTCAATAAGCATAAACACAATTATTATGACATCTTGTATGTCACAATAAACTTGACTGCTCCCAAGAGGCAAATACAACAGAACAACAAGAAAGAAGTCTTTATGAAGAGGGAAATTGCCCTCATTTGAATATACATTTCTAGTCTTTTATTTATGGATCTTTAAAGATGTTTTCGTGTTCTTTCAGATTGCTCAGTAAGTATCTTGGTATCATGCACAATTAGAAAGCAATAAAATCTTTCTCCCTAATTTGTTATTTATCATGTCTTGTTACATGTCAAACGAGGGAAATGCTTTCTGCATTCATATCTTCATACTTGTTCGTTAATATGATGATGCATGGAATAATTGGAATGAAATTAAACGATTTAAATACTCAAACGATTTGTAATTAAGTGTATCAGTGTCGCCTTAAATTAAGATTGAATTATTTGAAAGAACTTTGACACCAAAGTCAAGAAATCCAATGTTTATTTTACAGTAGACATTAACTCACTTCAAATGAACTTCAAATGTCTTTAGATGAAGATAGAAAAGATGAGTTGAAGATTTATTTTTAATAATTCATCAAGACTTCATAAAGTGAAGTTCAAAGAATGAAAACAACAACGTCACACTGAACTGGTTAGGTCGACTGTTGTTGTTGTAATTTAATTTTATTCATAACTTATTCATTTATGCGAGCATTGTGAAATGAAATCTTTTGGTAAGTGTAATTTGGCCTAGCTGAGTTAACAGAAATTAAAACTTGTTGACTGTTATTTGCTCTAAAATAATTCTTTTAGTTTACTTTTTACTCTTCATGACATAACACTATAAGCTGTCGGTGAATTTCACGAAAGTTTTTCGTTAAAGATGTGTTGCAGATGCAGAAAACGAAGAAGGAAATGCATTCACACTTCCGAAACTCCGAAATCTGTCATAAACATCAACATCATTCAACCACCAACAGATGTAGCGAAAAATTCCAATGAGGTCATTATCAAAGACATTGTGATTAAAATTGAAAACGGAAAGGAACACAAAAATATTAAACTCGTTTCTTCAAAGCTTTGAGTTATTCTGGTTTATTAAGCATCAATCAATCCGATGGCATTATAAAACCTGCGTAGTTTAAATATTTAGTTATAGTTAGGAGTTGACAGTTTTATAATTAGACGAAACAATCTGAAACCTTTTCCAGTTACCTTCGTAGAAAACGTCACACTGATTTTATTAAAAAACTCTTTGAGTAGATATTTAGGACTAAAATGAAGAATTTCTTATATTTTGATTAATTGTATTAGAATTTTGAATAAAAAATATGATGAGAATTAAATTTAACTATCACTCGAATTGCTATGAATTTTATTTTTATCCAAATAATTCTTTGTTGTTCCATTTAAAATACAGAAATGTTTACATTCGTAAGTAAAAAGTGTTTTGTGTTATTGATTTAAGTGACGTCATACACGAATTTCAAGCTGAATAAGCAATGTCCAATTGAGTACAAGAAACAGAATTTAACCAGCAGTCGCAATTTGCTATTTAAAGTGATCAAATGCTTCGTTTAAAACGTTTGAAAAAAATTGTTCTTGAAGTCAAATTATTAGTTTGTGAGACCTCAGCATAAAAACTTATGAAGCACTCAAGCATAGCGTTTAAATACCCAACATATCGAGATGATTCCCCGAAAAGTTGTAAAAGGTGGTTAGATGGAAAACGCATTGACGATAACGCTGAAGGTCTTTGGAGGGTTCATGACAAGTTATACGACTTAAGATTATTCATGAAGAATCATCCAGGTGGTAAAGATTGGCTTGAAATGACAAAGGGCGTCGATATCACCGAACTTTTTGAAATTCACCACATAACTGACTCGGCTGAGAAAATTCTTCCAAAGTTTTACGTGCGAGATGCTTCGTCGCCGAGAAATTACAAAATTACTTTTGAAGAGAATGGATTTTACAAAACAATGAAACGAAGATTGGCAAGCAAGTTAGAGAGTTTGGATGAAAGTCAAGTTAGCAATTCACGATTCTACTGCGATTTTATGTTGACGTCAACAATTCTATTTTCTGTAATTGCTGCACGCGATAACAACTATTTAATTGCATCGTTAGCTGCATTGAGTCTTTCTTGGCTTGTAATCATTACACACAATTTTATTCATCAGAAAGATAATTGGAGAATGTACCTTATGAACTTATCACTCTTAAATTATCGAGACTGGAGAGGTTGGTAAACTAATTATTCACATTCATATAAAGCACTATTAAAAGTCAATTATTTAACAAAGTTTTTCATGTTATGTCGCATCATCATTATCCAAACTCATACCATGACTTGGAGATTTCATTCTTTGAACCTTTTCTGAATTGGATGCCTGAAAAGAAGACGAAAACTCAAATTTATTTCTATTGGGCTGTTTCGCCCATAGTTTATGCTTCTACACTTTTCAGTGGATTCATAATGAGGTGAAATATTTTGGAAATGACAATACGAATTTAATTACAAATATTTTGCTTTCTGTTCAGAATGTCCAGTGCAATATTTCATAATCAACAGCTGTTTGCGGATGATCTGATGCCGCTGCTATTACCAACTACGATGTACATATTTGGCAACATAAATATTTATGTAGTTGTGAAAATTTGGCTTTTCATAGTGATGTTGTCAAGCTTTTTTTACATGCTTGTTGCTATCAATGCTGGACACCATCATAGAGAAATATTTCATGAAGGTGATGAACTCAAATCTTTGGACTTTGGAGTTTATCAGCTTGCAGCAACGATTGATAAAGTAGAAGTTAAAAATTCGCTCTTTTTAACTTTAACCACATTCGGACAACATATTTTGCATCATTTCTTCCCCTCGTTGGATCATTCATTGTTACCACAACTCACAGAGATGTTTTACGAAACGTGCCAAGAGTTTGAGAACGAATTCAGGGAATTCCCATGGTGGGAATTGATCAAAGGCCAATACATTCAATTAGCTCGTACCGAAACAACCAAATTAAGTAACTAAATATACAACAAATCAATAATTTTGACATTCTTTGTCATTCCAAATAATCCATGTCAGCTCAGTTGCTTTATTAAAATACAAACTCAAATCGAATTTCTGGATTACAAAATATCGGCAAATAAAACAATTTAATTAAGCAAAATAATTCTCAAACCTGAATATTTAAGGAAATTTGTTCTCCTAAAACCCACGCTTTTTTGATATTTTCGATGGGAAACATTTAAGTTGAAGCATAAACAACATTGAGGAAGTTAGCTTTGTTGAAAACAAAATTGCTGAAGGGCATTGTTCGGTTCGTTGGAAGTTTGTACATTCAATGACTAAATGTCACCATTGCTATTGTAAAATAATGTTTGACTTCAATCGGAATTTATGTTCAACAAAAAATTATGCAGCGCAGTTGAACAATTTCAATCTCGAGATGAATTCAAATTAAATAGAGATAACAGAAGCGTTTCTAAAATTATGACTTGGCAAATTACATACACCAGGTTCAACTTACATTTACATATTACAGCTCGTAATAATTAAAACTCTTTTTTTATTGCGCTAAAAAAGTCAACTTCTGTGTTCCATTTAATTATAATTTTCTTCACAATTTTTTTATTCTCGTATTTTCAAGCTACACTTAAACGTGATATATGATTTTATTTTCACTCCAGCACCGTTCAGACAATTTTCTGCCCCCATACTTGGAAAATTTCATAACAACAAATGTGGCGATGCGAGAGAAAAATCAGTTCATAAAAAAGTGAGTTTCATTTCATCATAAAGCGAATGAATTTATAATGTGAATTGTCAAAAGGATTAAGAATCATGTCACCAAGTTTGATTGCTGGAATTTCTCGACATTGTTTAAAAATAAATTGGAAAGTTTATGGAAACCGAACCAAATTTTATGATCTGAGAAGATTTTCTTCATTAGTTTATTTAAATTGTTTGAGATATTTTTCTAGGAAATTTCTTCGTTTTTGTGGTTTCGTGACAGCATTAATTTTATGCCCATCATTTAAAAATTCTTTATGACGAAAAATTGTACAATTTAGAAATGATCATCTTTGAAGTCTTTTTTTTTATCTTCATAAATTTACGACTTTTCAACTGACACTCGATAATAAAATCTCCGTTCCGTAAAATTCTTAAAGATGCTTTTAAAAGGAAAGAAAAACACTTAACGAATGAAATCTTGTCGTCAATGGTTTATGGATAATTAAGCAGATAAATGAAATCATGATTAAGTGAACGGGAAAGAAGTACTTGAGGGTTAAATAAGACATTTATTCGTTCATTCATTCATTCTCTCATTCATCGAGTTAAGTTAATTTTCCTGATTACTTTTCGGTTGGCTTAGCGATTCCATTTCTGATAATTTCTGAAAAGGTTGAAGTTAAATGATTTTCCTGAATAACAAGAAGTAAAAAAGTAATAAAAAGATGATTTTCTTTATGATTCAATTTTATTTATTAACCAGTTTCAAATTCTACTACAATCATCATCTTCATCTTCATATTGGTCCACATTTTTGATATTTCTTTCATTGATTGTATTCTAAAATATTTAGATAGCATGCAAATAAGTATCCTCAAAATTAAATTTACGCTTATGAACAATTTTCCGATAGGAATTTATTTTCTATTTCTCGTTTGTGGCCTTTATGAAGAGTTTCACAGAAGAATTTGATCCTTGAAAAAGGAAGACGTTGTCTTGTTGCTTAACCATCAGTTTCTACATGATAAAATTTAATTTAAAACTATTAAGGCTTTGCCATGGACACCAAATGTCTGGTCGTCGTTTAAAGGCACTAAACAATCTTCTGGAAGGAAAATTCTTCCACTTCTTTATCGGCAACGTTCTGTGACCCAAACTTTTAACCCAAACGACCGTAATGGTAGCCAATAGTTACGTCTTCTAACTTGTCTAAAACTAATGTCACAAAGTAGCATTTTATGAGCCATCATTTTAATTTTAATTTACATTGAAAACTCTATCGAAGAGCTTTGTCTTTTTTTCACTTTGTCAATTTGTAGATGAATAATTAATGCTAAAATATTTTTTTACTTATGATAAACTTCAATAAAGGAAGACTTTAGGTAAATATTTATGATAGAAATATCTTCACAATTCAATTGTTGTAAGTTATACAAAAATAAGTTTTCAGAAGCTCTTCATACGTATGACTAATTAAATTTACAATTATTTTATGACATCAGATGGTTCCGACAATTTATTTAATTTCCTTCCTTCCTTTCACAAATTCAAAAAGTAAAACTAATAAAAATGTTTTTCCTATTAGAGATCACTGGATTATCAAATATTTACTATTAAAACTATTCATGACGATAAAATATAAAAGAAAATTGCTTTTAAATATGGCAAGCAGCACTTTGCACACACATAGCAAACTAATTGGATTCCAGTGTTAAATTACATTGCTTAAAACACCTTGAGGGAAGACAACACATGAATATAAGAATGTTTCACATTTTGGAATCATTTTTCGAAATGTTTCGTCTCAATTTTTCCGAGTTAAAATTAAATTTATCCTCAAACAGAGTAATAAAGTTGAAAATTGAAAACTCTACATGAGTACTAGTACCGGTAACAATGAACGCCCCAAGAAACTGCACACATTACGACCCCAATGAATCTTCTGATAATTAAATTTTCCGGTAATGTAGCAAATTTTCCGCATCACTCTTTTGCCCTTTAACTCCTCGACACTCGAGTGCAGGAAGTGGAAATAAAAGTCAAAATATAATTTTACTACCACGGCTATCTAAACTGTTGGACTTTAATGGTCTGAACAATAAAGCAGTTTAATGCTAATCTTTGTCGAGGCTTTAGCATCGTAAAAGTTAACAACAAGACGAAAGAAACTACTGCTAGTAATATACGATACCGTACTCACTATGATCGCAATAATTTACAAGGTTGTCATAATTATTATCGGCCAGCTTAAAGCCATTTCCGATATTTTCCAGGCAATTCACAACATTATCGCCTTTTATGCTTGAATGGTCCATTAACTTAATCAAGGACATTTCATCAAAGTCCATGACGTTCGAAGAATCCTTTTCACAATAGCTTTGGGGCTGAGGGTCATCAAAGACATCGTCAAAATCAAACTTTGAACTGTTTGTGATAGGCGTGAGTGGTGTCGATGGCGTTACTGGCTCGCATGATGTCACACTAACAACTGATGATTCGGAAAATCTCCGACGATTCTTTTTCACTCCAATTTGGGTTTTATTGCCAGACGATTCTTTATGAGACTTCCGTCGATCTTTAACATCATGATTTTTAACATGTTTACGAAGAGATGATGGATCGGTGTATCGCTTTTCGCAACCGGGTAATTGACAGGCGTAGGGACGCTGAGAGAAACAGAAATGTTTAATCAAAATCTCATTTTAATAAATGTCAGTTGCATAACTCACAGACTCATAGTGTGTACGCTGATGTTTAGCACGATCCGAGCTATTCGAAAATGCTTTCGTACAGCTCACAAACTGACACACATATGGACGCTCCCCGGTGTGAGAACGTTGATGAATTTTCAAATTTTCCAAACGAGAAAATGCTTTTGTGCATCCACTGAACTGTAATTAAAAAGAATTTCATGTTTAATTAAATTTTCTCTCTTCCAACTCTCGTAATATTAATGATGTGCTATTTAATATATTTAATAGTCTTTTTCACTTAACTAAGGCTCTACTTAAAACCAATGAAACGACTTTTATGACATAAGAAAAAAAAACACTTCACTTTATTTGATGTTAACCCTTAGTGAAATGTGACTCTTGACAAGACAGTACAGCGATGTCACAGATCCAGTTGGATGAAAAATATATTTCTTCATAACATATCATAACTTGCGTGTTAGAAACAATATTTTCCTTTTAATATCTATGTACAAGCATCGTAAAATATTTTGAAGTGCATTAAATGAAACTAGAAAAATATCCTTATAAATGCGATTATAAACAGTGAAGTTGTAAACACAACATCAAAATAAAACTTCATCATTTTTATTTGTTCGAATGCCATGAAAGTTATTAAAGTCATTCGTAAATTGTTTTTCTTTCAGGGTGAGAGACGAATGCAGTGTTGTTCTGTGATAAAGATGAACACATGTGACGATGGAAAAGGTTTTTATGTTGCTTTTCATAATTCTTTTTTTCTTCAAAGTGTCTACACATGTAAGTTGAAGTCATCAGCGGTTGGTAAATGTTTTGGGATGTTTAATGTCGTTTGAACAGATTCATTTATGCTTGTAATCGACTGAGAAAATTTTCCAGTCAACAGAATCATGATGATGAGGACAAACGTAAAACAAACGAATGAAAAAAATGTATAAAAACGCATCATAAGAATTTTATATGTTGTTTCGCCCTTGTTTCTTCCCTCATATGATTTATGTTTTATGTACTATTAAACGCATGTTTGGATATCATCTTTAACGTGGATTTTATGATGACTTTTTGTTTTTCTTTACTCTGACTGCTTCTGATTTATCTGTTGGTATGATCTTTAATCCGCTACTTAATGTGCGCGGGGGTGCAAAGTGCATGATGTATTGGGGTTAGAGAAGATCAAAACGGGGGAGAAAACCATAGCGGAAACCATATTGCTATATGATTAATTAGCCAATTTGTTTAGTGCCTACGATAATCTATTTCTCGTGCACATTTGTTTGTTTAACTTCGATCTGTAGCTTTTATATGATATGTTTGTTGTGACGGGGAAATTTTCCAAATTCTAATGGCCAGCGATTTATCAAAAACAAAATAAAATTCATATGCATGTTTGTAGTGATATTGAGAACCTAAGGGTTCATTTTGTTAGAATCTTTTCGAAGCAATTAGAATCGAAATAAATCAAAATGATTGGGAGAAACGTTTAAGAATGATTATTTGGTTAATTAATCAAATGATTATTGCTTTTGGAAAGATTACTAATGACCTCAAAAGCTACAAAAATGTTTATGTGGCGTAGGTAGGAAAATTAGTCGCGAAATCATGATAAATTTAGAATGGTTTTTAATTTAAGCTTTCCTATCTGTTCTCATGTTTTATTGACACACATTTTATCCGAAAAGGATAAAAGCTATTTGTAATTGTCGTTTTCAAACTCATAAATTATCTCAATTCCCAAACTCATAATAATCCTTGACTAATGAAGCAATTTGTTGGAAACAATTTATCAAATTTTCATTTCAATTAAATTCCTTTTCATCAAATAACACTAAATTTAAAACTTTGGAGTCTAAATATAAACTATCCCCGTTTTAATTTACATAAATTCTTTCAAACTATCTGCAACTTGTTTAAACTATCCGAAAGAATTCCTTAAATATTTTCAACATCCATTTTTTCTTAATTCAATCTGTTTTATGGTCAATTATGATGTTATCATCGCAGATTTCGCTTGAATGAACAAGAAAAGGAAATCATCTCAAGTGTTTTATAATTTTCAATTCAATTATTTCCACTCCATAGACATCTTATAATCTTGTCGCAACTTCTTTCAATGCTTGATGCTTTAAATCTTTTTTATTCTTTTGTTCTAGTTTCTCCACTTATCAAAATATGACGAAAAAAAGTTTTTCTTTCGCTTCTCTAGAAGCTCATAAAAAGAACACTTGAATAACAAAAGTAGAAATAAAAAATGAAGTGGATATCATGTGAGCAGTCACTTCTTATATATATTTACATTATGAGGAAATAACGACTCGCGCTGCCAAAAAGTAACGATGTCTTGTCTTTCACTTTTACTAACGAGTAACGACCACGTGGCAACCACCCAAAATAATAATAACAATAATAAAAAGAACAGAGAAGTAGTTAAATGAGCCAGTAAAGATGGATAACATATTCTCAAATCATATTTATGTTTGTGATTAAAAAATATTTAAACATTTCTTTTTTTGGCATTCAACTGTTCAGTAAGGAAAACAAAAATAAACAAACTCGAGAAACGATTGGAAGTTAAAAAATCCCGAAAAAATATCTTTTTTTGTAAATAAACTAAATGAGAGTCCCTGTTTATGCCTGGCACAATCCCTCGACATGCCATGTGTGATCCAAAAACAAATTTTTTTTTTGAGTTTTGCACTTTTTTCTCGATATTCATCAACATATTTTTTTAACTTGCTGCCTCAAGTGTTTTTCTCTTTAGACGCTTTGTAAGCGTGACTTATCCTGTTTAAAAATGATAAAATTTGTGCGAGATACCAAACGACGTCAACTGTGAAATTTATCTATTTTTTCACTTGCTTCCTCGCAAAAATATTCTCGCTTTTTTTATGTTATCTGGTGAAAGGTTTTTGGACCGTTCGTTCGCATCGCACATGGGCCTCGACAATGTTTTAGGCAAATTAAATTAATCGTGACGCTTTTTCTTTCGTTGATGGTTTCCATGTTTACAGCACTAATAGGTCGACTGGTTTTAATGAAGGCGGGTAAAAAATAAAGCGAAACAATAAAAAAGTGTAGAACGGGGTTAAGAGATGATTTATTGTCATGTGGCTTTATGTTGAATGAAGACATTAGTTATTTAGGCACGAAATAAAATGTTTTAGAGCATAATGAATTAAACTTACTGGACATTTATTCGGCTTTTCTCCACTGTGTACTCTCATGTGAATCAGAAGCTTATAGCGGGCATTAAAAGGACGATATTGGCGTGGACATTCCGTCCAAAAGCAAGTGTATTGATCGCCTTTTGTTGAACAAACGTGAATTTTCTCAATATGAAGTACAAGCGATGCTTGTGAATCGAATTCTTGATTACAACCTTTCCAGAAGCAAATAAGTTGACTTTCATTGCCGTCTTCCTCGTTTACTGTCTTTTGTGATGCTTGAGATTTAATTGGCATTTCAATAACATTTTGAATCTTTTCAACATCGTTTACTGAGGCATTCAAAACTTTCTCGTCGTTCCAAATCGCTTTAAATTCACGATTTGGTTTCTCATTCAACTCGACGGAATTATAGTTTTCAAGACTAATGTAAGCATCAAAGATTTCAACAACATTTGTTCTCGTGTTCGAATCATTCTTCTCGTTAATTGAAAACTCCTCGAAAAATGTTTCATCAAAGGAATCGAGGATATTTTGTTCAAATGAAATATTTGTTGAGCTGTTAACATTCTCTGTTGATGGAATGGTGCATTCAATAGCGGAAAAATGAGTGGAAAATGCCTGATTAATTGATGGAAGTGTTTGCAGTTGTATGAACTGCTGATTGCTTTCGACATTCTGTGTTTTCTCTTCTTGCGATGAGATCCATGGATCCATCGATGGTGATGAACATGGTGATTGATTTTTCGAATTGCAATTCTCTTCATTATAATTAATGTAATCAGTATCGAGATCGAGGATGTGTGTTTGAGGCTTGAATTTTTCCACAGTATCAGGATCGAATTTAAAATAATTACCATCGTAATTAAACTGATTTGCATCTTTTCCTAGCTCGAAAAGCGAGTTTGGTGTATCAGATACATTTGAATAAACGTAATTGTTGTAATTGTTTCCATCGTCATTCACCGCACTGTAATTATTCTCGAATGCTGACGGTTTGTTGGATGGTGAGAATTCGATTGGCGAGACCTGACAATATCCGTTGGGCGATTGGGAATATGAAAATGGTTGAAAAGGTGGCGGTATGTAGAAAGGATTATCTGCGGTTACAACTTTTGTTGATGGAGTTGTTGGGGTAAGAATTCCACTCACTAAATCATTACCACTGTTGCAATTGTACGATATAAAATCAGATTTTAATGCAACAACTTGATCCATCGATTGCATACAATGGAAATCCATTTCATGAATAATGAATTAATTTCAATTGTACTTTATAAATCCACAAACTCAATCAAGTCATTAATTTAAATGTTTTATTTTCACTTCAAACTTTTTATTTCTATTTCTTCTTTAACTTAAATCATCACAAAAATCGTTGGCAAATTAATTAAAATTGATTAATCCAATCTAATTGTGAAGAAGAAAAGCACTTTTCCATTTCATCACTTAATTCAATTATGGCACGAAACGAATTGTATGATAATTGTAAACCGAAATGACGACAGAATGAGAAATAAACGAGAAAAGGAAAAGTAAAGAAAATTTTAAGTTGTAGCGCGAACGAAGAACAAAAATAAATTGATTACTAATTGGAAAGAACGTCTTATTTTATTTAGAACTAAGAAGCTAATGTTGCGTTGCTCCGGAACATATTTAAATGAGAGATGAGATTCTAGCTTTCGACTGTCACAAAAACGTTTTTCATTTTTTTCCTTCACCCGTTCTGTGAGTGTGTGTTTGACAGCGTAAGGCGTTATGTGTTTTTTTTTTGTTCTTTTGAAAACAAAACATAGAAAGAAGAAGAAAATGTTATGAAATATTAACATGTTTACGAACACATTAAAAAAAGGGTCAAAAAAGAAGAAGGAAAATTTATATTTTCAAATGACTTTCCACAATGAAAATAATTTTATTTCTGTTTTTAATGTAATCATGATATAAGCAGTTAGATATCCCAGTGTGAAATCTAAATTTTCATGCTGCATGAGTAGAGGAAAAATCTTAAACACCTTTAAGAAAGTTTGCATGAGAAAGGTAAAAAATTGTCAAATTCATCTCACGACAAAACTTAAAATTTCCAATTGGGATGCAAAGCAATATCAACATCATGATGTTTAATTTTAATACATGTATTCCCAACTATATTCAAAACCGTAACACATGTAAACATTAAGAAAAGTAATACGATCATATCCTTAGATAGTTTTTCTTCTTCTCTTCTCCAGCACATTCAACAACGTCTTTAAACAAATGTTTTAGGGTTTTTCTTTTCATTCGGAGCTCATGAGAGTGACATAAAGAAAAAGAAGTTAAAGCCAAGTGAAATTTATTGTTCAACACAAGAATATTCATCTCATATGTTTATTTATGCATGTATCTTTAAAAAGTATAATGACACGATTTCTCTTTCTCTATCACTCCACATGAAAGGGATTTGAATTTGCTTTTACTGCTGCTGTACATCTGTGTTTAAAGCCAGTGATATTTTTGTATTGTTGCATGATATTTGTTTTCTGGAAAAGAAAATTTCTACTTTTTACAGTTCCATTTAAATGAAACAATACACAAATGCTTTTGGCTTTTATTTTTTCTCCACTTCTCTTTTTCGTGTTAAGAATTTTTAACGATGCATGTGTGCAAGTGCAATTAGAGTATCATGTTTGAGGCTTTTCTTTTCGTTCACCACAAGATGCAAGCAATATGCAATACGATACATGTTCAAGTGGTAGCAAGAGCAGCATAATTTATTGCATCTTTTACACTTCTTTTCGCTTACTTTTCATTTATCTAAGGTGAAGTTTTTGAGTTTTCCTTTCTCATCTCAACATTGTTGTGTTTGGTTTTGCATTTTCACTTGCATCTTTGCCTTTTGAGAGTAATTTATGGAGTGGGATTTAAGCTTGAATTGCAGATAATTTACGAGATTGTGAAGAAGTCTTAAAACAAGAATTTGTTATTTTCCTTTCTTTATTTGTTTACTTCAACAAAATCTGTCTTATTCAGCTGTTAATATTAATACAAAACTTTGAATCTTTTTGATATGCTTTAAATTCACACTCATGTCACGTTTTTCATAAATTTTGTATTATTAAAATTGTCCAAAGCATACAATTTTATTATGAAATCAGCAACAAATTCTAATTTTTCGCTTTCATTTTCTTCTCGGCATTTCCCTTCGATGTTAAATTTGCACTTGGATGAGATGTTTAAGTGCGAAATTATAATTCATTTTGTACATCCTTAAAGGAGGCATAAATTTAAATAAATAACCGAAAAAAGGTGTCGTTTAATTTTTATTGTTTTATACAATAATATTAATTACACAACTAAAAATTCTGACAGCAAAAATAAAATTTAAGCGCAAATTTTCTGGCGTAATTTTTTTTATTTCGTTCTTTCAACCTCCAAGTTTTCTTCATTTTCCTTCGCTGTTGAGTAAAATTAACCGCGATGATTTATTTTCATGATTGTTTTATTTTTAACAGTTTGTTGCTTTCCTCGGAGGATAAAAAAGCGAAGAAAATTAAATTACGTCAGATAATTTGTGGTTTATGTAATTTAAACAGCTTATTTTTAGCGTATTAATCGCTGTAATGCTGCTTGATGATTTCTGACACGAATTGTTGAAAAAGTTTGTAATTTTGAGGTGTTGTTTGAGTGGTGTTTAACATTTTTCACTGATGCTCGAAGCTGAACTTTAATCCAAATCCTTTTTCACTTTCACTGCATCAATGTTGAACCGGAATTGTCATTTTCAGATGTTTTCATAACATTCAGTCAAGCAAATAGAGAGCAACAACCGAGAAGTGTAATCAAAATGTGCATAAAAACACCAAAAAATTTATGAAAATTATTATTTAGAAAATATTGCGCACTCAAAACATGTTTTTCTTTATTTTCACTGCAATGCAAAGCCAGCTTACAACGATTTATCTTCTTACCCCATTCGATGTCAATTTTAATATTTTTTTGCAAGCTCCATGGCATTAAAAAGATTTTTATAATCTACTTAAACGCTCGCGCATAAAACATATTGTGTGCAGAATTGCATTGCGTATATTTTTTCTGTTGCATTAATTACGTTTTTAACATTCCTCGTTGCTTTCCCTTCATGATACTGATGCAATTTTGCATGCAGATGTTTACGTTTTTCAAGAAAAAGGGTTCGAGGTTTTCAGGTCATTCATCTTCGCGAAGCATTCGAGAGTCAATCTCTTCAAATCTTTCCCATTCAAACAAATATAAGAAGAGTGGAATGAGAAAATTTTGATTGACATGTTTTGTTTGTTACTTGTTTAAACTTTTTTATTTTCTTTCGTAAGAATTGTTACGGCTGTCAAAGAAAAATTATTTTCCATCAATTTTTTTGTGTTAAAAATAGCACGCAATGTAACTAAGTTGTGACACTGAATTTTTGATTAACTTATATGTACGTGGTTATATGACTCAAGTATTTTTTCATAAAAACTTTTATATAAATTTTAAATGATGAATGTTTGTGATTGAAAATTTTGAGTGATGTAAACATCTAAATGAACAATGACAAAGTTTAGTTGCTATCGATTGATATCAATTCATTTGATATTTTCTGTGACAATATCTATCGAAGATTATAACATGAAAACATTCATAGCTTAATGTTTCTTTAAGAATATTTCTAAAGTTTATGATAATATTCACAATACCTTTGGATCTGTTAAATATTCATGTCGCCCTTGATCAAAACGATTTTCTTTCATGCACATGAAGTTGAAGTATCCCTCAGTTGATATATTGAAGTATTTCTCTTTATTAAATAAGGTTTCATTACAAGCATTCTAACCGATAATCAGACACTATCAATTACTTTTGCGTGCTATAAAATTGAAAATGTTAAATGGCTATAGAAACCCTGTGGGAAACATCAAACTAATTGCATCTGAATTTATATCCTTGTTCATTAAATTCATTGAATAACATGTTAAAGCTAACATCAAACCTTAATAATTACTATAATTAAATGGTTATAAAGCAAAGTCTAGTTAATGCTTTGCAAAACTGCATAAAAAGAGTAAGCTGAGTTAATAATTCTCAAAAAAGTCAATAAGTTTACAGGAAACACTCCTTGAGCTACCGTGATCTCTATTGGCTTCTTTGTGTTTTCCAAGACCATTTTCATTGCCGTTTTGAAATTTTTATTCTCTTCAATCCAATCACTATGAAAAAGACTCGTTGAAAACTCTTGAGATGCCAACAAAACTTCATTTCCAAAGTAGCATGGCAGAAATATTACCATGATCGTAGTAATTAAGTAAGTGAACATGAATATGAACGAAGAAGGTTCCTCCATCATCGAAATCTAACAAAGAAATAAATAAAAACATGCAAACATTGGAGATTTTTAATTACTTAGAAGTCTTTATGAGTCTGTTCTAAGACCTACCTTGGACAATGTAAAGCCCGTTGTACACATTATTATTCCACCCACGACAAATGGAATAAGAACCATGATACTGAAAATGTTTTCAATTTCATGAAGTAAACTTTTAACTTTGCTGTGAATTTCGATACACTTCAAAAGCTCCAGGAAATTTTCATCTTGCTTTACTTTCTTGCTCTTCATTGAGCGTTGTCGTTTCTTTCCGATATTAGTAACTCTTTTATTAAGTTCTTGTAGCAATCCACTGCTGACGTTAAAGAAATAAACTGGTAGGATATCTCCAGCAATGTGCTCCCCACAATATACTGCTGCAGCTAATGTTTCATAAATTGTGACAATGACGAACCCAAAAATGTTTTGTTCGTGATTAAATGGTGACCATGTCGGAACTGGAACCATGTAAGGCGGTTCAGGATTTTGAAAGTAATTAATCCAAGGAATAACACATCCGCAAAATGCAACAATCATGCACAAGATCCAATAAAACCAGAAAAGTTTTGTAACTTGACGGGCTTTTTCTTTTAAAATTCTCAAGTCACTGACATTGCTATCCAGCAAGGCAATTATTTCTTTGAGATCAGCCATAATTCCAATAATTTTATATGACACGATCATTAAATGTTTTGTTTTCATTGAACCAAGGAATGTGAATGTAACGGCCAGAATAAACGCTTTAATGAAGAGACCATCAACTCGAAAAAATTCAATAATCAAAAGAATAATACACAAATCTATAAAGAATGTTTGTATGAAAATTCCGTAAATTTTATAGCACTTTGAAGCGTTCTCATCAAACCAAAAGCCAAGTACTTGTAGAATTTTCAAAGGAACTTTCAATGGCGATAAAAAGTCAAAGTTTTCCATATTAAAAATTGCAAGTGAATAAGTCAAATGATTAAACCGAACTGGAAGTGAACATTTTCCACAATAAATGTTCTGCAATCATTTTCGGATCCTTTCAGTTCACGTGCCAATTTGGCATTACAATTTAAATTACATAATAAAATGTAACAAATTCCACTTAATGATAGTCAGGTTGAGTAAAATCACGCCTCATAGATAGAATTCAATTCCATGAATCAAGAATTCACTATGATATTATTAAAGCCCTTTCATACCTTAATGCTGTTGTTGAAGTAATTTCTACATTTACATTGAATCTCCATTTTTAAGTCATCCTTGTGGTTCGTAGATAATTCTATCACAATTTCTATTTACTATTCACTATTTCAGAGGAAAGCTAACTTGGATGGAATCCTATTCGAAGAACTACAATCATATTCAGTAAACTAAAAGGTCATGTAACGGGTGCATTAGAGTTTTCGATCATTCAACCCTTGCAGGTGTTGATCTTTCACTCTATTGCATCTATTTAAAGATCTTTTGAAAAAGAAGAACTTCAAAGCGTGAAGTATATAAGACATTGCGCAATACATAAACAATTATACATAAGCAAGATAAGAATTTCATTTACTTTTAAGAGTTCTAAAAATAAGCATTCAATCACCTCGAGCTTTTCTTTTGGTATAGAAGAAGAAGAGTAGAATAAATGAATGTTTTTGATTATAAATTTGTATATCAGGCATTGTTAAACAATAAGAAAAAGAAAGAAATAGAGAATCAGAGCAGATAAAAATTCTGTAGTTCAAAATTGTTATTTGCCTAACAGTTTGTAAGAAGTTGCAGATAGAATCAGGTTGAAGGAAACTATGGAACACCGCACAACGCTTCAGTCATCCTTTTAGTTTATCGGGAAAGGCTTTTAAAAATTTCCTACTTTGATTCAATTAACAATTTATTAGTGAAATTTGCCCTAGATTATAAGCTTTGACTTTCTTTTTCTTTTCACATTGTTAATTTTGCATATAACGTTAAGTTTTACGTTGTCCCGACTGAAACTGTTTCTAATTGCATATATGCATTGATTACACATAACTTATGAAACAACTTTCTTTACTGTAACATTAATTTATTGAATTAAAAGTTTTATTACGTGTGGACTTGATCTAAAACCATTTCTAAATTTTTGAAACTACCACAATTGGTAGGATATCTGGTGAAGTATAATGAAATTATTGTGATACATGTTTTAAACAGAGATTTAACATTTTTACACATTTAATCGAGTTACCTGCTTTATGTGAAGAAAATAAATAATTAAATAATTTCGTTCAATAATTCTGTAACTTAGTGCAATATTTTATTGAAATTTTAAACTTTCAGAGTTTCTCATGTTCTGATGAATAGAATGACTTGCAGTCGTGGTTGATATTCCTCTGATTGTGAACATTAAATAAAATCTACTTCATACTTTGCAAAACAGCATAAACTGAAAAAGCAGAGTTAATAATTCTTAAAAAGGTCCACAAATTCACAGGAAAAACTCCTTGAGCTGCTGCAATTTTTATTGGAGTTTTTGTGTTTTCCAAGACCATTTTCATTGCCGATTTAAAATTTTTGTCTTCCTCAATCCAATCAATGTGAAAAAGAGTCGTTGAAAATTTTTGAGACGCCAATGAAACTTCGTTTCCAAAATAACATGGCAGAAATATCTCCAAGATCATTGGAACCATGTAAGTGAACATAAAAATGAATAGTGAAGGTTCCGACATTATCGACATCTAACAGAAAAAAAGATTAGATTAAAATTAACATAAAACTTTTTTAATAACCTACTTTGGATAATGTGAACGCGATCGTACAGATGAGGATGACGCTCATGATACCTTGAATAACAATCATAGCACTGAAAATGTTTTCAACTTTCTGAATAACTTTTTTAATTCTGTGATGAATTTCGACGCATCTTAAAAGCTCCATAAAATGTTCGTCATGTTTTGTTCTCTTGCCAGTACTCTCGCCATTTCCTGAATTTTCACGCTTCTTTGTTATGTAAGAAATTCTTTCATTGAGTTCTTGTAGCATTCCACTGATGATGTTGAAAAAGTACACCGGAAATATATCTTCAGCAACAACTACGCCACAAAAAACTCCCGAAGTTAATGACTCATAAAAGGAAACGATGACGAATCCGAAGATATTTTGTTCGTGATTAAATGGTGACCATGTTGGATATAAAAGCTTGTAAGGCGGTTCAGGATTTTGAAAGTAATTAATCCAAGGAATGAAACTTCCCCATGATATGACAATTAAGCACATGATCCAATAAACCCAGAAAAATTTTGTAACTTGACGAGATTTCCCTTTCAAAATTCTCAAGTCACTGACATTGCTATCCAGCAAGGCAATTATTTCTTTAAGGTCAGCTATAATTTCAACAATTTTTTTTGAAACGATCATTACATTTTTAGTTTTAATTGAAGCTCCAAGGAAAGTGAATGAAACTGCTATAATCAACGTTTTTACGAATAAACCATCAACACGAAAAAATTCAACAAATTGCCCAATGACAAAGAGATCGGCTAGAATTACATGCAACAAAATCCCGTACATTTTATAGCTTTTTGATGCATTCTCATCAAACCAAAAGCCAAAGATTTTCAATAGTTGGAAAGGAACTTTCAATGGTAATAAAAAGTCGAAGTTCTCCATCTTACAAATTGCAACTGAATAAGTCGAATGATTAAATTAAACTAAAGGAAAATGATGGGAAAATTTCAAGCTATAAGTTTTGAATGAATTTTTTATTCCTTTTTAAATTTAATCATCAGCTTTTAACTGTAGCGAAGAATTTTAATAAGCAGTTTCTACATTTCATAACTTTGATTTTCACACTTCAAGCATCATTAACATTTCAAATGTTCTTGATGGGAGGATTTTATTTCATAATTCAAAACATTTATTGATTTGTGCTTTGACATTAAGAAATATTTATTGAACCATTTGATCAAATGAATTATTGGTTACATTCTTGAAGATTATTTCATAATGAATAAACTTTGATATGTTTAATTTCTACATTTTGAATGATGAAAAGTTAAGGAATTTAATTTACAGAAATTTGCTTTTAAGTTCAACACCAAAATATTTTTTCACATTTTTATAGACACCGAATTAATTGACTCAAATCTACTTGATGCTTTGCAAAACAGCATAGACTGAGAAAGCTGAGTTAATGATTCTCAAAAAGGTTACCAAACTTACAGGAAAAACTCCTTGAGCTGCTGCAATTTTTATCGGATTTTTTGTATTTTCCAAGACCATTTTCAATGCGGTTTTAAAATTTTTGTCTTCCTGAATCCAATCACTGTGAAAAAGACTTGTCGATAGTTTTTGAGAAGCCAACAAAATTTCGTTTCCGAAATAACATGGTATGAATATTTCCAAGATCATTGGCATCATGTAAAAGAACGTGAAAATAAATAGTGAAGGTTCCGTCACTATCGAAATCTAACAGAAAAGAAAATCAAAATAATTTTTTAAGG